CTTCATATACATGTACTTTTGCTTGGAATCATCTTGACATCTTGATGAATGCTACACTCTTGTATCAAGTAGATCACTGACCTGGATCGCACACTTAAGTGACTTAGATTTTTAAAAAAAACCAGTTAATTTCTCAAGCAATGTTCATTTTAGGATCATTAAACTACATGAGTATATGTATCTTTGTATCACACCCTTACAACAAAAGGTTACTATCATCTACATTTCATATGTTACAAGTTTTTGCAACAACATAAATATTTGTATGCATGCCATTAGGTTGAACATTTCATGTTATATTGTTTACTATCCATCTGTTCCCTTTTTTTTTTTTTTCATGCAGCCATTTTAGTTGTTCACTAACTACCATTACTGAACTTTACTAATGGCTTATATTTTAATTTTGGTTTTACAGATCAAAGCCACTGAATCTAGAAGTAGAAACCTGATTTGAGCACAATGACTTGAGTTGTACATCAGAGTCATGGACTAAGCTTAAAGCCTATTGATTTTGGGATCAAAAGATGAAAGGTCATGATTAATGCAACTCAAATTAACATGGATTTTGCACAATAATTTGTGTTCTAGAATAAATTACTTGTCCAAACTTTGTGGCTGGCTTGCACATGGGTATGAAAGAAACATGGATTCTGGATTCTAAAGGTCAAAGGTTGTGATTATGGTAGGTCAAATAAGAAAATAATTATGGTTTCTGCACAATGTGTTTAGTTCAAGATCACATACTTTGATCAAGGTCAAGGTCACTCAGACTCTTTTGGTCAAGAGTCACCAGAGTCAGTCATGCCATATAAGTGACTACACAGGACTATTAAGCGTGAGATGAATATATAATATGCCATTTACAGTTCTCTTGTTTGTATCTATACAAAACTATACCTGGAATCATAAAACTTGTTGAGCAGATGCATTTTGATGGTTACAACACCCTAATTGCAGAAGTACATCACTGTGGCAAATATTACATGTTACACTGACTTAGGTTAAATATTGTCATTTAACTGTTCATTCTAGAGTCATTAAACTAGAGAATTGCATTTACATCTATTAGCAACACACCAATAATAAAAGATCAATAATCAGGCAATGATATTCAATACTCAAGCATTAATGGTCATTTTTCATGTATCAATGTTCATTCCTCAGGCATTAATGTTCATATCTTAGGCATTAATCTTCATTTCTCAGACATCAATGTTCATTTCTTAGGCATTGATATTCATTTATCAAGCATTTGTGTTCATTTCTCAGGATCAGTGTTTATTTCTCTGGCATTGATGTTTATTTCTCAGGCATTGATTCTCATCTCAGGAATTTCTCAGGCATTGATGTTCATTTCTCAGGCATCAATGTTCATTTCTTAGGCATTGATATTCATTTCACAAGCATTGATGTTCATTTCTCATGCATCAATGTTTATTTCTCAAACATTGATGATCATCTCTCAGGCATTGATCATTTATCAGGCATTGATGTTCATTTCTCAGGCATTGATGTTCATTTCTCAGGCATTGATGCTCATTTCTCAGGCATTGATGCTCATTTCTCAGCCATTTCTCAGCCATTGATGCTCATTTCTCAGGCATGTTTCAGGCATTGATGTTCATTTCTCAGGCATTGTTCATGGCAAAATCATGAAATTGACCATAATATGTACTTGTTAGTATCACTTTCTTTCTACAACCCTTACTGACTTTGGTTATGTTTCTGTATTGATCTCATGACTACATGACTTTTTAGCATGTCATATGCATACTATCATATCTAGAATCATACGACTTTGGAAGTGGGATGCATCTTACTATGCCCTTATTTCAAAAAGAGGTTTCTATGTCCTACATTTCATGGTTCAGTGATTTTGTTGAAGCTTTTGTTTTGAAAGCTGATTTATCCAATAGCAGATGCTGTTTGTGTTATAATCATGAAACTTGGGAATTATGCATCTCTTTCAGTATATTGCCTTTATAACCAAAGGACACTTTGACATACATTTTGTTTTGCTAATATAGGTTTAAATTATTTTAAATCATGCCTACACAGATAAATTCATTCAATATCCATATCAACCAGCATGCAAAGAATAACTTTTATAATCAATGCAGTTTGGAAGTGGGAATAAATATGTTTATTTATTGGTAACCTTTCCTTGTTAATGACTATACATTGCTACCCTCAACTGGTTAACTGTGTTTTGTACATGTGAATGAATTTACGTATGTAAATGGCATGCATTTCATGTGAAGCCTCAGTTATAGTGACTAATCAAGGTAATTATTGATGCTTATGCTATGCTTCTAATAATTATTATCCTGGTAGTTTCTCCATACATGGTTAGTCGATGCCTGTAAAGAGGCTGGGCAGGGGAGGAGCAATGACTAAAGCTCCTAACGAGAATTTTAAAAACAATGATTTCAAATGAAACTAATCTTTAAAAATTTTATAAACTTTTTATGGTTACTCTACTTCTTTATCCTTTTACTATCGAGACAAGAATGTTTTTCTTTTTTGTATTTTATGTGCTGTCACAGAAAACAGCATTTCATAGTTAAGATCTCTTTGGTCTGAATTAATTTTCTGCATGATAATATTTACAATGGTTGCTGAAAACTACTAAAAATCTTTAAAGATATAGGCTGTATAATTCTTGATCATATTTTGAAGGCTTAAATGTATCGCTGTATCAAGGGATTTCAAACAGATTCTGTGCCGTGTTAAAATATAACTGGCACAAGACAAACAATTTAGGAGTGATTTCAAGTGTCATGCAGGAAGTTATCTCCCTTAGAAAATGACCGTCGGTAATTTGTGAGATAAAATTAAAACACATCAGAAAAGATTATTTTTATTATTTTATCTCTGCATCTGCAGCAGAATTAATAAAAAGACAAGTTCTCAAGGGTACATTGTAATAGAGTGCATCAGGGTGATCACACTAATGTTGCTGAAATACTTTTTTCCCCATCAACTAGTTATAAAGAATTTATTTATTTATTTATTTATTATGGCACTTTTAACACATTATTGGCAAGATCAACGAGGAAATGAGAGACAAGTGTCTTTCCAATGGGTACACAATGTGAGCCTATGTGGGCTGGCATTGAACCTATGACCCTTAGCGATTCCGACGCTCCACAAATCTCGGCTTTCCAATTTTGAATGACAGTCCTTATGGAGTGGGAATAATACAGGAACTGGGTAAAATTACCAGATAACTCTAATTTTGACAATGTGATCATGTAATGTCTCATTGAGCTTGCTATTTTCAATAACCTGAGAAATTCAGAATATATCTGCCCGCCTATTTGCAACTAAACCGAAAACTCTTTAATTTGGAAAACTTCGTACATGTCAGTGGGACGCATGGAAAAACTAATTTAACCCATGAAATGATAAAACTGAGCGCTGAATGCAATCGAAAAGTACTCCAAACCTTCCAAAACAGCCGAGAACGAGTTTATGGAAAAGTGGAATGCATCCTTGTAAAATACGTTGTTTTATATATAAATGTATAACATCGCATAATAATTGCTTCATAAAATTTAAAATCTCGTTTAAATGTGTGGTTGATTTTAGGGTCCAGCATTTGTGAAACAAAAAAGAAAATTACATTGCTTCAGCTGAAAATTTATATAAATATAATTTTCTTCAACATATTAAATTGGGACAACGTTCTTATGCTTAATTTTAAGAACTGGTATCATTTTCACAGAATCCTTTCCATCCAATGGATTTAGCAAGGGATGGTTAAGAAATATGCTGTTTTTTAATAGTCCCTGTGGTTGAGGTTTGTGACATATTCTTTCGAACTCTTCTGTGTCAATAATTTAATATATTACTATAACATAGTTTACCATTTACTATGTATCTCTGCATTTTCCTTTACTAAGATCGTCATAATACATGTGGAACGAGATACAGTTATAAAAAGAGCACACACACACACACAGAGCATTACGATGCAATGAGAAGCAATTACTTTCAAATCTTCATACAATATTCTTTTACAACTTAATATGATATTTAATAAAAATATAGATGTATTCTTGTGTTTAAAATTGTATCGTAAAAGGAAGCAACACTAAGTGAAAACAGCAGGAAAATATGTTAAATAATGGAAAATCTAATACACACAATCGTAATAAATCTAATACACACAATCGTAATCAAATGAATTCTATGACAAAGAAAATCAACAGAATGGTGTTGTAGATATTTTTAAAAATTTTTAAAATTGAATTCTTGAGATATTCTATCAAATTTCAGGCAGCAATTTTAATATTCACTCACTGTCTAGTACGAAGCCTTCATTTGTTAATAAACTGTTAAAATAGGATGTTATTACCGTACGTGTATGCTTATGACACATATCCAACTGCAGACACTGCATAGACTTGGATATTCATTCGCAGGATGCACCAGCACATCTGTGTCCTTGAAATTTGTTTTGGATTGACCAGTGTTACAAACACCATAGACCCTGATCTACTGGCCCATCGTGCGACAGCAGATCATACATAGTCTGTGCTATTTGAAGTTGGATCGGACTTGTAGACGAGTACAGATAGTAGTCAGCTGACCACGTTAGTGTTTGATTTTTCTAATTTAGGGCTAAACATTTAATACATGTTCTATGAATAGGAAATATAATCAGTTTTAGTAGCATCTTTTCCATAAGGATCACAGTTGTGTGGGAAAGAATGTGTGTGTGTGTGTGTGTGTGTGTGTGTGTGTGTGTGAGTGTATGTGTGTGTTTTGGATTTTTAACGTATCTTAAAAAAATGTTTAGTCATATTGCTACGATGTCTCCAGTGTGGCAGTTCATAGTGATGTCTAGCACTATGGCATAATTCCGCCGACATGTTGCATCATGTCACATCCAGTTACATTATCCTGATATCAAGCCGACCAGCCCAGACACTAATCCCGTAATGCTTAGCACCAAGCGAGGAAGATGCTAATACCATTTTTATAAGTCTTTGGCATGATTTGGCCAGAGTTCGAACCGGCGACCTCCCGCATCCGAGGCGGAAGCTCTAACCACTATACCATCGGAGCTGTAACGGTGAAGAAAGAAAAACCAATTATTTATTACAGCGACATTATTTCAATCGCTAAACTGACGATACCAGTCTGATATCATTAATAGCACATCTCTTCAAATTCTGCAAATTACAACCGTGACAATGTAATTGTTTTTAAGGGGACAAACGTAGACTGTCTTAGATAACACTCTCATATAAGACACGATAGTATCCAACTGGAAAATATTAAATATTTGAACCCTCACCTTTTTTAAAAATTAAATCCACGGGCACAAGAATCAAAATCAATCAGGTCTGTTACGAAACTTGGTTTTCTTAATCACTTCAGTCAGAGTCGAGTACATTCATTTGACACTTGGTTTGTATTATTGCTTAGTGGTCTGCATGTTGTACGGAGACGAGACGGATGGACGGACAGACAGACAGACGGTATCAAAATTAATGCTAAGATATTATGAAGATAGATCTTGTGCTGAAATTCTTACCCAACTAAGTTTTACAAAGAGGGGAAAATAATATTGCTTAAAAGATGAAGGGATAGGTTCAGAAAATCTCTGAAATTGATTGAATTCATTTCTCTTCATTAAATTACGTAACGAAACGTCTGCTTTACGCAGATATGTAGTTTGATATTGCTTTGAAAAGATCTGCTTGAATGAAGACATCCAAATCCTGGAGGAAATTAAATCTATGGGTGGGGAGAAAATTAGCCTAGTGCATGATATAGTAAAACTCTACATAGATCAAAGTCAAACAACACTATAACCTCTCTCCTGATGAAACGAGTTTTATTCCACTCTATTAGATTGTCGGATTGATTTTCCCCCTAAACCTGGTGATTTAAAAAATATATACGATAAAATGGAAACGTTAACGGGTTTAAGTACTTAGCAGAGGTCATTTATATTTATGGAGGATCAAAAATCGATAGTTTCATATCATGGATTAAGTGATCTTAAATCCTCCAATGACTGGTTATAATAGATGTTCTTGCCACACAGGAATGAAAACAGAAATGAAAATATATTTCGATTTTTAGTTAATGCATGTAAGTAACGGTCAAGATTGTGTAATCGTCCAAATTTAGTTCTAAAATAAGGAGAGGGTTTCTTTCGGTAACAAATAATTACTTTCAGGTATAGAAATCAAATGTTTTCGATTAAAGAGGCTTAAATACATGTAGATCTTGATCTAAGAGTAATATTATCAATTGGGAGTTAGGTCCTTTTCGTACGAATGCCCATAGTGCGAAATTTGCACGCACAAATCTCGTCGGAACTCTTATATGATGATGCAATATTATACACAATGGCGTTCAGAACTTCCACTACTGTATTAATAACCCATAACTAGTATTATAGAATTGAAACATTAAACGCGGTTAATGGCGATTATATTTCAATTACAAATTAATATATAAAAAAATTTAGAATCTCTCAACGGAATAAATGAAGTGAAAAAAGGAGACTAAAAAGCTGTCCTCTTTTCAAGCAAGGAAGAAAGATGTATTCCGTGCCCTTTCAGATTGAAAGACGTAAAAGAAGTGAACGTTGTGGATTCTTGATTCCAAATTGTTTCATGAATATCTCTAAACGAAATGTATGACAGTTGGAACAAGGCAGCTCCTATCAGCTAACATGGATTTATTTATAACTCAAAATGGCTTAGACGTGTTTTGTGTATCTGTACTGATCAAAATCCCAGCTGGAATACACATATCGATCAGGTCTCCGAAATGGTGGTCAAAAGAAGAACTCTCTTAAAAATTATTGTTGAAATTTCTACCTCCCCAGTCATTTGAACTTTAATTTTCTGGATATACGCTACCACTGAAAGATCACGGTTGTAACATTTGGTGAACTCATCCAATTATAGTCTATCCAAAACTGATAAATTCAAGAAAAGGGCCGCCAGAATAATTTTGAAACTTACTATTATGACTCTTTCTATGTTTTGTTTACACATCTACAATTTCTTCATATACCAAAACACATTGTTTATTTTAAAAGAGTTATGACATATACGTCTTTAAAAGATAATTTTCCTGATTATAGTCATAACCTATTTGAACTATTATCTTCAAATACTGAGCGTAATCTCCTATCAACAACTAAAAATTATCTCCAGAATATGTTTTCGAAAACCCACCTTTACAAAAGCTCATTCACTGTATCAGCATCTACCTTTTGGAATTCCTTACCCCAGGGGGTACATTTTTTAAATTCCCTTGCTTCGTTTAACACATCATTAAATACACATTTTCTTTTCCAGCTGTAATGACATACTAAAGGCTCTTAACAAAGAATTGTATCATTTTGTCCAGAAATAATATGGGTATGTTTTATTCGATGTATGTATCGACAACTGGGGATATGCTAGTATGTGTATACCTATGTATAATATATTGTTCATATACGTATATTTTGACCAGTATAGTTTACATATAGTATACTTACAGTACAGTTACTTGAGTGTGTGTAAGTGACATATTTTGTTTAAATGTAAAACATAACACGTAACAAAATTGAGGACAACATGACATATGGGTCTTACATGACCAAACGTGTTATCCTCGCGAAAGAAAGTTTATTATTATTATTATTATTATTATTATTATTATTATTATTATTATTATTATTATTATTATTATTATTATTATTATTATTATTATTATTATTATTATTATTATTATTATTATTATTATTATTATTAGTATTATTATTATTGTTGTTGTTGTTGTATTGTTGTAGTAGTAGATTTTTTTATTCATTGTTTATAATTTGTACCAACCTACAATCTTTATAACATTTTTGTGGTAGTAAACAAAGTGTAACAACACAAGGTCACTAGATTCATTTAAATAGTTATGACTTTCTTACGCTTATTCACAACCCATATCAAGTACTACAGCATAAACATAAGAAAAAGAAAGAAAAAGCAACGAAAAAAAAACAACGAAACAAACCCAAACAAAACAAACACAGAATCACCAGCCCACTTTCACGTACAACTTTGCCGCTAACTTTATTATTTCTTTAAACCAAAAAATCAATAAACAAGAGGCAACATTTCAACTACTGCATGAAACTTACATAAAAAAATTAATGAAAGAATACAAGAAGAACAACAAGCTCATAATTATTGCGTGAAAATGACAATAACGAACCAGGCCGCATACTTTACTACTACTATACAAAAACCCAAAACACGAATCCACTTCTCATCTACCTCATCAAAAACAAAACACGAATCCACTTCTCATCTACCTCATCAAAAACAAAACACGAATCCACTTATCATCTACCTCATCAAAAACAAAACACGAATCCACTTTTCATCTACCTCATCAAAAACAAAACACGAATCCACTTTTCATCTACCTCATCAAAAACAAAACACGAATCCACTTTTCATCTACCTCATCAAAAACAAAACACGAATCCACTTTTAATCTACCTCATCAAAAACCCAAAACACGAATCCACTTTTCATCTACCTCATCAAAAACAAAACACGAATCCACTTTTCATCTACCTCATCAAAAACACAACACGAATCCACTTCTCATCTACCTCATCAAAAACAAAACACGAATCCACTTCTCATCTACCTCATCAAACACAAAACAGAAAAATCTTAAATAAACACTGGGCCACTTCTAAATTGAACATATAAAGACCAAGACTCAAAGACTGCTGGTTAAGCTACTGTGCACTAGAAGGAATACACAAAATTGGAACAGATAACAAGACCATTCATTCTTTATTTCCTCCCTAAGGGAATTTACAGATACACACATGAAAATCACAAGAGCAGATAAATCACATGTAAATGATTTAAATATATTCAGCATAACAACTGTACAGTAAATGGGAATAAACAATCGCATCTACGTGACAAGTAGAGAATGATGAAGTCAATATGAAGATATTCAAACATACACCAATGATCACGTGACCATTTTATCTTATTAGAACACACACACACACACACACACACACACACACACACACATATTACTGCTAGTTGACAGTAATACTGTAGTGGTATTTAAAATCATCGATTGAGACGGAACGTAAAAATAATCGATACCAACGCTGTATAGACTGCATACGTAGGACGAGAAAACAGATCTTTTTTTATACTGGAAATTATAGCAACGATAGCTAACTGAATTCGCTCAGTGGTTTAATCATTAGGGAATGTTCTCTTGTTAAGCTCTTTCTTTATGTTTTATTGACTTGCATTTCTAAAACTATTTTCAGACTTAAATCAAACCGCGTGCAGAAAATTGAATATCTGTTGAGATTTGTAGACGATTGGAAAGATGTCTCTCAGACTCAGAACAAAGAAACCTGCGTACTTTCCGTTTTGTTTGTCAAATACAACAAATTTACAGTGTCATATTGAAACGTATTTGATAATAGTGCTATTCCAGTTGATATGGCAGAGTGACTTTTAATTCCAATATTGTCCATATCGAAAACAACACACAACTTTTCTACCCTTCTAAAACACAGAAAAATATTGTCTCCATCCTTTTATAAAAAGAGATACATTCACGTTTTGCGCTTTATTTTTCAAGGTGGGAAACTCAGACAGTACATTTATACCATTCAAATGTGCAAACGACCATACACCAGAATGTAAAATGAATACAGACATCTTCCGACAAAAATCCTAAAAAAAAACTGATATCATTTCTTCAAGAACCTTTGGTTTCACCGCAATACAATTAATTCAAATAGGTTTTAAAATTTCAAATGTCTGACCATGACAATTATTTGAGAAGCCTACGTTATGAAAGTGTTTTTCCTTTTTGAACATTAACATTCTGTGGTGGCAAATCAAGCAAGACCGTAATAAAATCAATTATGCTGAATTAAAGGAATGGTTAAGCAAACAATCAACTTACACACTTTATAAGTAAGAAAGAAAACGATTTGCATTTAACACGGTTCATGTTAGTCATACTGGTACAAATACAAGCAGACTCGTTTGATACACA